TGGCATGAGTGGCCAGCGGTCAGAAACGCAGTGCTTAATATAGCTCAGAGAAACAGCAGAGAAGAAGCGTAGGAGGCTCTGCGGGGAAAAGCCGCAGGGCCTGGCGGCCTCCTTGCCTAGGGAGGGAAGACAGCGCGCGGAGCCGCAGCCCGTGCCGAGGCCGAGCTGGGGCGAGGTGGGATCCTGCAGGGAGCCAGCGGCCAGGCCGGGCCGCCACATCCCAGCGGCGCTGCGCACGGATGCGTTTCCTCCAGGATGGATGTGAGGTGGATATGAGCTGTTGAGTGCAAGCGAGGCCACGCCCCAGGTGGGTGAGGAACAGGAGGGTCCCAGACCAGTGAGGTCCAKAATCCCAGAATGGTTAAGGCTGGAAGGGACCCCTAGAGATCACCTAGTCCAACCCCCTGCTCCAGCAGGGACAGGAGGTCATGCGTCAATACAAGGGCTTCCTCCATCATTTGGTCGCTCCAAGCAAGAGCCACGTGGCCCATCCTGCCAGCCCAGGAGACGTGGCAGGCTCCCAGGAGCAGCTTCCTTCCCCTCGTCCTGCCTGTCTCCAATGCTCATTTCAAGCCACCTTTTCGCAGCACCCGAGTGAGCTGGATGCCGTGGTGTGAGGGGTTGGGCCATGGGTGATTTTGATGCCAATGAAGACCCGTTTTCAGGCTACCTGCATCATCCTTTCTGCAACAGGACCTACCTAGGGTGCATCACGTGCACCCCATGTCATTCCTGGCTTGAAGACACTCATCAGGAGACCCTGGGGCACCCTGTCCTTCTGCCACCACGCTGGGGCTCCAGCACACAACAGGCTACTGGGCTCCTTGAACAAGCAGCTGCTGCCTGGGCTTGTCCCTGCAGAGCTGAGGTGACAGGAAGGGGATCCCATGAGACTGCTCAGCCCTTGTATCTACTCGAGTGCTTCTCCAGGAGAAAAGCCTGCCCTGGACGTACCAGAGATCTGTCTCACTGCAGGTGATGGAGATGTGCTCCTCCCATCACAGGTGTGCTTAGCAGCCTGCCTGTGATGAGCCACAGGATCCACCTAACTGCCTAAGAGATTTGGGGTGGAAGATGGGTGTTCTGGAGCTGGGCTGCTGCTGTGGCCCGCAGGGTGCTGCACCAGAACAAGCTCCTGTGCTTTTTGAAGGTCACATCAGAGAAGGGGCCAAGCAGATTCCCTCAGGAGCTGGCATTACCCGGGACTGGCACCTTTCTCCTTGAAGCAGGAGGTGTGTTAGTCCTTAGCCAAGGAATAAACCAGGCTCCAGCTCGGGACTTCCAGTGCAGAGCAGGGGCAGAGCCTTGCAGGAGCCCTCCGAGACACCGTCGGCATGTGCARCAAGGGGCATCCAATGCCTGCTGGCACCACTGCTCCCTCTGGGTAGGTGGGCTCTACAGCTGCCCGGGTAAGGGCAATCCCACCACAGAGACTGCTTGGAAGGGCCATGGARGCTCGTCCCTCTCCGCACGGTCTGCTCGCGGGGCTGCTCCTGCCTCAGCCTTAGTGCACTCGGGCCTGGGGAACCTCGGACAGTCCCACACTGAGCCTGGAAGGGAGCAGAAGATGCCACGGCACGAAAGTGGCACATATTTATTTTGGGAAGTGTGGGAGGGATCCTGCAGCAACAGTGCTGCTGAGCCCAGGAGAGTGGCACAGCAGAGCCAGGGACACAGCAGGCAGAGCCGTGCTGAGCAGGGCGCAGGGTGCTGAGTGCAGGTACTGGGGGCTCACCAGCAGCTCCCAGCACTGCTCTACCACGGGAGGACCGCAGGGAAACTGAGGCAGGRCCTGGGAATGACGCAGCTATAGATGGAGCCCTAACTGAGATGCTCTGGGAGGCTGTTGCAGGCTCGAGGGGTCCTCAGTGGGATGACTTGAAGCATCTCCAGGGCATGTGACTGCTGCAGCACTCGCAATGGCCTCGGCCAGCTCCAAAGTAGGGCGAGCAGCTCAGACACCTCCCTGGACACCGTGCACCAGGCGGACAAGGAAGACCGGCCACAGGACAGGGTCACACGGCCAGTGCACCCACAGGTGCCACGTGCTGCTGCCACAGCCCTGCTAGAGGCCAAGGAAACCTCTGCTCCTTTCTCCCCTCCCACTGACTCCAAACAATCAAGGAACGGAAGGATCTCACTGAGTAACCTAGTTGGTTCCTGTCTGGACTATGTCTGCATACAGATAGAGGGGGGATTAGCTGGTGAGTCAGCTCAAAGATAAAGGCGCAGTTAAATAAAGTCCCATTTCTGTTTTCCCGCTGGGAAAGACCCACTTCTAAGGCATGCACAGGGTGGCGCAGCATCAGAAAACCCCCCTCTGGCTCAGTTGGCAGCATTTGACCACATTAGAGGAGTGGGGYTAGGGACACGCTCTGGCCCCACGGGGCCCCCTCACCTCATGACRAAGTCGTGCGCGTCAATCTCTCGCCCGTAGCCGGAGCCGCGCAGGTTGCCCGAGTTGCCCACGACGGCGCAGCGCCGGCAGCGGCGGGCGTCATGGGAGCTGTAGGGGTTCTCACCAGGCACGATCTGGAAGAGCTTGCTCAGGACTTCGTGGGTGTTGTGGGACTTGAACTGGGGCTGCAGCATCTGTGGGGGTGGAAGGAGGGCAGCGGGACATCAGCCGGTGCCGAGAGCCACCCCGGAGGTGCCACTACCCGATCGGAATGTGCGGCAACTGCACAGGGCCCCGAACAGCCTCCGACGYGTTGGTGAGTGAAGGGCACTGCGGGCAGGGAAAGCTGGGCTAAACTGCTGCTCTGCTACAGACCGAGCGCCCCATGGTTGAGACGTGGACCCTCTCCCACCGCATCACGGGGGCCCACGGGACCCTGGGGACATCGCCCCCAGCTCGCCTGGCCCAGAGAAGCACTGGAGGGGACAGGGACAGACACAGCRCCCTTCCTCCCCATGGGTTCCCAGTTCTTCCTCGTGGCTGACCGAGGCCAGGGCTGACTCTGCCCTGGCAGAGCTCGCGGTGCCTCTGGCCAGAGGCCGCCTGGGCACTGCCAGCAGAGGGGGAATTGAGCAGTTGAGCGAACCGGGGCCCTRAAGAAGCTGCAAGTGTAATAAAAATATATGTATATTAAAAAAAAAGAAAAAAGCGACACGTCAAGCCTCCCCCGCACGGGAAACAAAAGCTGCCTGGAGCCTGCACAGCAGCCGCTGCGGCGCTGCCAAGGGGAAGGATGTATTTTCCAACGGGGAGGGAGTCAGGGCTGCCGAGATGTGACAGTCCCAGCGCCGGGGCTTGGGAGTGGAGAGCGGCTGGTGCCCCCAGCTCCGCTTGCCCCGCAGCTCCCTCCCGACGGCTGCCCACAGTGGCACTGCAGCCCCAGGCTGCCGGCCTCCCTTGCTGCCCTTGGAGGGCMGGAGGTGCTTTGGTCTGAGCTGGRGCTGCTGCTCTTGGCACTCAGGTGGTTTTAGGTGCAATGAGCTGTGGCCGAGTCAGAGGAGGAGAGCCGGGCCGAGGCGACAGGCGGAGATGGCAGCGGAGCCACCACAGTGCCCAGAGCGCCGCCCGGGGCTCACTCACCATCCACCACCGCTGCACGTCCAGCGGCAGGTCCATGTTCTCCTTGGTCCACACCGGGGAGATGTCGCCGTCGTAGTGGCTGTCAAACCACTCGGAGGCTCCGGCGTCCTCGGTGCAGCGGCGGCAGGCGCAGCTCTTCACGTAGAGCCCGCCCTTGCTGAGCCGCTGCAGCCCCGCGTAGCCCGGCACCAGCTTGACGCGGTGGAAGCCGCCGCCRCCGCCGGCGGCCTCCAGGTAGGCGATGCTGTGGTGGGAGTAGGTGAAGAGCAGCGACATGACGAAGACGAGCAGGAAGGCCGCGGAGAGGAAGCAGAAGCGCAGCGAGCACTTCATGGTGGGCGGGCGGCGGGGGCGTCAGCCGGGCCCCCGCGCTGCTGGCCCGCCCGGCGCCACTGGGGCGCTCGCTCCGGCCTCTCCGCCGCACCGCCTGCGCATAGGGCGGCCGACCGGGGGCCGGCGGTGGAGTCGGGCAGCCGGCGGGGCTCCCTGCGGGACGGAGTGCCGGGAATGAGCGCGCGGGGCGGCGGGGGCGCAACGGGGCGCCCGGCGCGTGGCTCCTACCTGCCCGGCTGCAGCTTTCCATGCGCGGCGAGGGCCCCCGCCGGCTCGGGTTGCCAGGGAGATGGCCGAGCGCCCGCCGCAGGCCGGGGGGCTCCGCGGGGCCGCC